TGCATTACCCCTGTAATACCAGTATTACCTGGCCATTACCTGTAAAATACTAGTACTACCCAAGTATTTCCCGTATTACCCTTTAATTTTTATTTCTTTTTTAAAATTTCCCTCTTAATAAATGCTTAGAATAGCCTAAAATGTCAAGATTTAATAAAATTTCCACATGTCCAATTACCATGTATTACGTTACGCAGTTTTTCGAAATTTTTGACCCCCCCCTTCCCCGTAGATAGTTACGTAATACTTGAACGCTCCCCCTGCTATGAAGATAGAGGTAGATTTCGATAAAATTAAGAGGAAAAAAAGTAAAGTAAATGAAAAGGCGAGTGTAAAGGAAAAAAGAAAACCATGGAAAAAAAAGTTTATTCAAAAACAAATGAAAAATTGACAAAAAAATTTATAGTTTTTTAATTATTTTATATTTTTGTTTTATTTGAAGCACATCAGCTCGTTTTAATTGAAATGGACCATTTCCCAACAATTGCACGGGCCCAAAGAAAATATACCTTTTATTTATTATGGTTACATCATCTGGTCGTGGCCAAACATAATGGTCCAATTCAGTCTTTAGGAACTTCATTTTAAAATTATCGTTGTCGCATTTTTCGATTATGCGGCCAAGATACCATTTTTCGTCAAAGAACACAGCATAGTAGCTTTCTAAATTAACTTCCAGAGTTTCTATCTCGGTTTCGACCTTCGAAATTTTCGGTTGGGGTTCCGAATCTGAACCCAATTCTGAACTAAATGTTTCAGTGTCGGTTGAGTCATCCAATTCGACCTGCTCATCATCAGTAGTAGGTATTCTTTTGAATATTCTTCAGGGTTGGCTGCCCAGTGGGTAAATCAAAAAAACCCCGTGGGTCTTTTTGATAGAACCCATTTAAAAAGGCCCGCAGGGTTTTTAAAAAATGTTTTTTTTTTAAACTTCAACTCCTGGTGGTAAACATTTTATATTTTTGATATTTGTGTATACTTTTTTTTGTTAAAAGATAAAACAACACATTAAAATATAGTTTAATGTATTTTTTAAAATAGTATTTAATCAAAAGCAGTAGGTACACTCTAAAACTGCTTTTATATATTAGAATACAAAGAAACGATTAAACAAAACGTAATTTTGAAGTTCGGGGGTTCCCCTGCTGATTTATATTATTTATGCATTTTATAACGAACGACGAACGACTGCGAAAATAAGTCGTTAAGGATAATGTACCTAGTTAATATATTTGATTTTTGTTGTTATTCACTAAAATCCGTATAGAATTAAAAAACCCAAAAAAGCCCAATTGGTTGAGATTTATTTAAAAAACCCGGGTTTTTTCCAACCCTGATATTCCTTTACTATAGAATTTCTTAAAAATGTGAAACCTACAATTAGTTGCTACTTTTTTAAAAACTGGTTTTATATTTGCCTAGATATTAGTCTACTAACAATATTATTACAGCCTACATTATATTGATGGTTATAGAACTTACCTTTTTATTTATCTGCATATGTACTCGTAGGTATTAAAAAATTAAACACGAGATTACACATTAACTAGACTACGGGGTAGACTAAAAAAGTAAGGTTATCGTTGCCATGGAAACGCTTTGGGAAACGCCTTGGAAAACGCCATCTATACGCTTAATTTGTATTTACTCAGTATTACCCTTGACTTGCCTCTGTATTGCCTCTGTATTCCCTCGTATTACCTCCGTATTTCCCTTGTATTACCTTAGTATTTCACGTATTACCCCTGTATTGCCTGCATTATAAAGTATTACCCAGTATTTTCTGTACATTACCTTGTACTACCCCGTATTTCCTTAGTATTACCTTAAGCCTGTACACCAAATTACCTCAGCGGTTTACCCCTCGTGTTATCCAATTGTTTTAATATGTTATGCTCGAATAAAATATATCTTGCTCTATCCATTGTTCAGCAATTTCATTTGTTATTGGTTGTTCCACTGTAGCACATTTTTTTCTTTTAGTAATCCCTTGATTCGAAATTTCCACACCTGATATTTTGCACCGTCGAATGGTTGAAACTTTTCATTGTATTAGTTTCCATAATTTAAGTGTATTTTTCACAAAAATATCACTGTTATTTTAACACAAATATTAAACGTTAATCTGGGCCCATAACCTGTTGAATACAGGGCAGTTAATTAAACAAATTACCAATAGCACAATAGACTTTATTGAAGTAAAGCACAAATAAGACTAAGAGAGTATTATTATATATAAATAGGATTTCCTCTGTATTTGTCTTGTCTTTGGATTCTCGGGTTTTTTTTTTAAGGTTTATTGGCTTTTAGTCTTTTCGACTATTTAGCCAGCTCATTATTATACATTTTTTGATTCTTAAAAACTACCACAACACCCAAGGCTGTGACCGGGAATCGAACCCGGTATTTCCTTAATAAATAAATTTAAGCATGTATGTTATGTAGGGTGTCCCTTATTTTTATTTTTTTTACGCATACCCTCTAATTATATTTATTACGTGTTTATATACTCCCAGTAAAAATTTCAGCTCATTCTATAAACGGGAACCCGTGCCGACTTGCATCTGAACCCTCCGCGAGGTCTTCGATCGTAAGTCATTTTGTGTTTGTTATTATGTGACCCTTATATTATAAATTATTGACAAATGTTAAAATATAGTTTTATTTATGTGTATACTTTGATAAAAATGTATATTTTCACGGGGAGTGGCTAGTTACCCGGAAGGGTCTGGTGAATAGGCCGTAAACTCTGAAATTGATAAACTTAATGGGTTTTACTCTAAATAACTAAAAGAGTCTATTGTGAGAGATGACTACCGAAAACTTATTAAACTATCTGAAATATTTTTGGGAGGACATCAAGAAAAGAAATGCTTATAAAAAGCTGAAATTTCATATAACAGTATATTTTAGCAATACTAATTATATTAATATATTTAAGGGATAAAATCAACTAAATTAGTGAAACAAATGATAGAAACAAAAGCAATAATATTAATTAGTAATCATATTTAATAAAATCATTAGAAAAATACAGTCATGAAGTATATCTTCTTTTTAAAGTGTTACAAAATATCGCGCGCCTAACGTTTGCTAACGGAGGGTTCAGATGCAAGTCGGCACGGGTTCCCGTTTATAGAATGAGCTGAAATTTTTACTGGGAGTATATATAACATTGTTATGTTATGTTATGCAACCCATTATACTTAGATTTCGGTTGTTCATCTAACAGACACCACCAGATGATTTTTTGCCCAAAAAATACCCCAGAAATAAAGCATCATTATTTTTGCACTAACCTGATTTTGCGAAACAGTTTAAAAGGCCTATAGCGCCCCCCGGAGGCATTAAAAAATATATATTTTAATAAAAAAAATGTTTAATAGTTTAATAAGCTAAAAACACGTTTTATCGCACCAAAAAGTGTTAAAATATTTATATATTTTATTCATAACTCACAAATTACAAAAACATAAAGGAGGACGCGCACTGAATCGACTCGCCTCAGCGCAGCTCAGTTTGGTCCAATTTGCACACATGTATATACGCACGCATCGACTAATCATAGAACCATATTTTTTCTATAAAAATGTCGTTTTTTTTGTCCTTTAGCTGGTGGAAGTAAGATAAACGTAAAAACGTTTTCTACAGTACGAAGTTAATAAAGTTGTCAATACTCTAGCAAAGGTATTTGTAATATATTTGAATACCTATGCTAACACACTCTATTGACAACTTTAGAAAAAAAAATTGTATAAAATAAATAAGACAGTTGAATAAAGAAACTTGTTGAATATAATAACTATATGATCATTTCGTAATTACGCTTAAGCTTGCCAAAAAACGGGAGTTTACGGGAGGTTTTCAAGGAAGTCGTTTAAAAATCGGGACGCGTTGCTGTAAAAAAGGAAGACTCCCGCCCAGCGTTGCCAAACCACGAAAAAATTCTGTACTGGTTGGAAGAAAAAACGTACTTATTTTACTGAAAAGGTAGGTACTGTTTTTTATAAAATACAAGATTTTGTTAATACTTTGATTATATTGCTTGTACCTATTTTATGTCAGTAGTATACTCGTACACAACAAAGTTGACCCTCCGAAGGTCACGCAATATACCAATATATTTCTTAGCATTTTAAACCAACGTCACTGCCTGTCTATTATAGACATGTCTGCAGTCTATATAGGTATGCTGAAATGCCTATATTTGGCAATTTTTAACCTGATCGCTTTTAGTCAAAATCCGTTAAAGTAACACTTACATAAGTACCAAATTAACGGCTAGATTTTGATATGTCAATAACAAATTAATTGAGATTGTACTGTATATCAAAATGTGACTTTAAAGCATGCTTGCCATGACAAAAAACGGCGCAGTGTATAAATAGGTAAATACCCAGCGATGGACGAGATTATTTTACTTCACGTTTATTTTTACGATGTTATACCTTGCAGGAATCACGACATTTTTAAGGGGGATTTAAAAATTCATTCTAAAAAGTATAGGTATACCTATACTATAGTATACTATAGTTTTTTCGTAAGTCTTATTTGTAATTTCTTAAACTTTTGTTTGCTTGTGAAGGAAATTTAGGAAAACGTACTGAAACTATGAAAGGATCCTCGAGCATTGACGTAACTACTGACAGACCTTGAAAGTACTGATTTCAGTACAAATGCACTGGCACTGGCTACTCCCATGCTGGGACAAATAAAAAAATAGAATATAACTTATTAACAGACAAAAATAAATGTAACAATAAAAAGAATTACTCTAAAGTAATAACTCTTAATTTTAAACTTTCTAAATAAAATAAACACTTCTCTGGATTGCATAATATTAAAATAATAATGATAATTTATAATCTCTAAAAATACACCCAATTTATGTATTACTATATTAATTTTTATTTATTTACAAAGTTACGAACGGTTTTGTATAGCTGACGTAATTTCCTTGTTTAGAAATTTTGTCATCATTATACTACAATAACAGTAAAGCGGAGGTAGTTTGGCATTGGTAAACTAAGCGCACCGGCATGCCGCGGCACCCGCTACTTTAAAATACGAACCGAACTCTCATAAAGAATCGCCGAAATTATAAATATCTCATTATTTCAAGTATATGTTTCGAGTTGCCGGGTTTATAAATAAAAAACAATACGTTTTTAACTGTTTAAGTGTTTATTAAGAAATGTCCGAAAGTAAACCAGATACCGTACCCGGTTTGGGATTTAAAGATAAGGAAAAGGCAGAAGAAACTATAAAAAATCTGGAAGGAAGGGATCCGGATTACCAAAAATTAGCAATTAAAGGACTTATTGGCAGGGCTAAAAGAACCTTAACATGTGAGTTAATTTTAATGTTAAACTATTTTAAAATTATTTATACTTATAATACCTACATAATTATATTCTATTATAATTAGGTCAAAATATTTATATATAAATAAAAAGTATGATAATAAACTAGCATAATAGCTTGCTTATAACTTTAATAAACTTTTCAAAATTGCGTCGTCCTATTTATCATAGAAAAATAATATTTACTTTAAATATTTATGTAAAAACTATTGATTCAATTTAATTCCTGGTTAATTTACTGGTATAATGGCAAGATCTTGCCTTACGGAAAAACACTGTTCAGCAGTATTAAACACTATTAAACACTGTACAACACTACTGACGATTTTAATAATGTGCCAACAGTGTTAACGACTTGTACCATAGTGTTGCACTAGTGTTGTTGTAATGTTGCACAGTGATAAAGAGTGTTGCATAGTGTTCATGGTGTTCCAACAGTGTTAACGACTTGCCCATAGTGTTAAAGTGATTAATGTTGCTGTAATAAGCAGTTTTGTGTAGTGTTCATATAAATATAAGTGTTTATCTGATAAATTTAAGTTTCAACTGAAAATTAGAATTTCCAATTAATTTTAATTAAATAACTAAATTAAAAAATATTTTTGAACCTTATCAATTAAAAAAAATGCTAAAAAAGCACCAAAAAATGCAGAATTCTACTGTTTAAACTTTTTTTAATTAATATTAAAAAAAATTAATTTAATAATTAGATAAAAATTTATTGTAAATTTTAATTTACAATTGGAACTTAAATTTACCAGATAAAACATAATTGTGCGAACTTTTCGTAATTAATTTTTAATGTAAACTTAAATTAAATTATAATTTTCAAATTAGTTTTCCTATATAATTTTTTAATTAATTATCTTAATAACTTATTTTATAATTATTTAAATTACTGACAGTAATTTGTTAAAACTTTAAAATTTGTGAGAACTTAAGTTGTAATTACAATAAAAAAATTCATGAGTAAAATTAATTTAAAAAATGAAATAAGAAAAATAATTAAAAAATTATATTATATTGATTTCCGCATGCTCTTAGAAAAATATTGTAAGCAATTGGGTATGCGGAAAGTGTCTTTTCCGCACTGGACTGCTGACCAAACTCCGCCTAGCGTCGTTTGATCGGTCGGTCGACTGAAATATTTCATTCCGCAGTGATAAATAGCTTTAGACCTATCCCATGAATTGGATTTTTTGGATAGGGGGTGCGTTAAAAAGGGCGACAGTCTCTTTCTTCATTAGAATTCTAATAAAAAAGACTGCCGCGTTTTTTCACGCACGCGCTATCCAAAAAATCCGATTTATGGGCTAGGTCTATTAACACTGCAACACTAATCACACTATACAACAATAGTCACACTAAACAACAATAGTCACACTAAACAACACTGGTCACACTAAACAACACTGGTCACACTAAACAATACTGGTCACACTATGTAACACTTTTAACGAAAACATTATTCAAAAGTAGTGTTGCATAATGTTGTGCAGTGTTAACAGTGTTTTTCCGTAAGGGGAACGTGAATAATTTTACTATTTTTATTTAGATTTTTATTAGTTTAGTAAGTGTTTTACTCATTTTAATTTGCCATTTACAAATAAAAGTTAAACATCGCACTATCGCACTAAAATCGCGTTTTATTTTTTTATTATTAAGGGGTATTTCCATTGTAACGGGTGCGACACTAAAACTGCGTTTTTTTATGATAATAAAGGGTTTGTTCATATATATCAAGATACGTTAATATAAAAAAATATTATGAAAAATTAGGTATTTAACTCAAACAAAATATCAATAAAAACTTGTAAAGAAAACCTTTTATAACGTCATGAATAGCGTAACGGGCGCGACCCTAACCCGGGTCTACAATTGTCGCAGGGGTCCGATCGCAGAACATAAGCTTGCGCAAAGCACCCCGTGACGTGGCGATGGAGCAAGGTTCTTTTGTCAGCTGGGTGCTTTGCGCAAGCTTATGTTCTGCGATCTGCGACAATTGTAGACCCGGCTTTAGAAAATCGGCAAGTGCGACCAAGTTGGCTTCTAAAGTTGATACTGTAAAATTTTGGATAAAAGCATATAGTAATAATTTTATGTGTAAAACTTGAATACTAACCTTAAACAAGCACGTATTTTAAATGCACAAAAATTGCATACTTTATTTTCTAAAATTTTCTTAAAATGTAACGGGTGCGACATTTGAACATTTTATCGAGTACTGAAACTTTTCCGTGTTTATTCTTAATGTTAGCTTCTTTGCATCACAATGTACGAATATTTTAAGATTTTAAATTGCGTAGCAATTAAACTATTTGACTTCAGATATAGTTCTTATTTTGTTAAATAACACATCTGATTTTTTGTCAAGGTGGGGTAAGGTTTCGTGGAAATACCCTAAGGTAACAAGGTTACATGGTTCTTAATGTTTACAAAAAGTTCTTCTGGAGTTTTAAATTTTAGAATTTAAGTACACGGGTTTTTTATGTTAAACACGTTAGTAATAGATTATTTCACACTGTTACATTTAAAACCCGTTGCTATATAAATTATACTAATATTTGCCTTAATGCAAACCATACAAATTGCTCTACTGTAAAATTCCCCAAAATGAACTTGGAACCTTGTGGAATTAACGTGATGAATTACCAATAATTAAGATTGAAGGGTCGCCCATTTATTCTCCCATTTTTTTGGCAGAACTTTTCTTACTTAATAAAATCCCTATTTTAACTTCAAACATAACAGATGCACAAATTTGTGTAATTATTATATCAAAATTATTTGGACAATTATTATACTAATATACAATAAATATAGGTACTTTTTCTGTTATAAGTTAAATATAGGTATGGAATTTTAAGAACAGGTCCGTCTAAAAAATAAATCTGTATTTTAAAGGGATTATTTCTCGAATTCAAATTATATCCGATTTTATTTTTAGTGACAAAAGACAAAGACAAGCTGCAAAACATAAACGATGCAATGGCAATATTTGAAAAATGGCTTAAAGATTTCGAATACGACAACAGGTCTAAGGAAAATCGTGCCTACTTACCCTTAGCAACCGTAAAAATATTGTTACCCTTGAAGGAACAATTTGGAATTGAAGACAAAAAAGCTTCATCTTTTCTAAGTGCATACGAAAAGAAGGCTAAAGGAGAATATAAACATTTAAGGACCGTCGCTAGCGAGGAAGACAAACCAACATGGGACATCGTAAGAAATAGCGAACTGAGAAGTTTATTGAAAAAACTCGATGAAGACAGACCCGATCTGTGGAAAGACGATTTACCCACCAAAGAACATATGCAACTTATTTTATGGGCGTACAGCCCTGATGCGGCAAAAATTAAGAAAAACCTATCGAATTTAGAAGAAAAGTTGGGAGGTAAAAGCAGTCAAAGCTCCAGTGAAGAAGATGAAAGCGATGATGACAAAGGAAAAAGAAAATCTTCTGGCGATAGCGATGAAGAATCGCCAAAGAAAAAAAGCAAAAAATAAATAAGTATTAAAAATATATTGTGCTTAAATATTTTTTCACCGGCATATGCCATATTTACGTTTTTTGTTTAAAAATTATAAAAGTTATTTATTAGCTTATAAAATCTATAACATAATACCTAATATTGTTTTTTTAATACACAAATTAATAAGCCATTGTTTAATTTTTACCTACCTAAAAAACTAGAAACTCATTGAGTAGGTACTATTTAATGCGTGGCGACGTCCGGACGGAATGTTAAAACAGGATGCGTCCTGTTTTAACATTCACATCAAAACTATTTGATTTAGCCGACTCCGAACGGTACTCGAAAACCAGAACAACTGTGGAGCAAACATGCAAAGACTGATAAATTTATCTATAGGTACTCTTAAAATGGATTTATCCATTTTTACATTTTAAGAGTATAGTACCGATTCTTACTAATTTTGGTAAACTCTTTTGACTTGGCACAGCATCTTAAGGAAAAACCGAAACAGAGACAACCCAACAGGAGCAACATTCCCTTTTAATAATTTTTAAATATTTGGGGGACTCGGCTGTACACATTTTTGGCCAATATCTCAAAGTAAGTTAAAATGAATTTATCTCTGCTCCTTAACTGTACTAACCCATAAGTCTGAAAACGTTTGTAAAAATTTGCTATTTTTTACATGGGATATGATCTGGCAAACGCAAATTTAACGTTGAGTTGTGCACAAAGCAAACACAAAATCAACTCAAAAATTGCAGGTTTTGTGTCAATCTGGCGTTGACATTTATGATAGTATGGATTGAAGTTTAGTTTGCCTTTAGTTTAAAAATTAAACGCAATTATAATACAGGTAATAGAATTGCGTTTGAAATTTTTTTTTTGTAAAATATGGTCAAGTTTGCGTTGAATTTTTTTACGTACATCGAACGCAAATTTAAATTAACAATGTGCTTATTTGTCGACTTGGCGTTCATTTTGCGTTTGCGTTTACATTTTAAATTTGCGTTAAATGTAAACGCAAAAACAAATAAATATTTTTTCATAAAATTAAATTTATTTGTACCCAGAATTTGGTAAAACAAAAAAAAAAGAAAGACAGTGGGGAAGGCTCTAGGTGACCCGGGCATCGCGACCGGAAACAGCACACGTGCTGGCGCCGGCCACGATGTCCGAGTCACAACCCACAAGCCCTTGCCCACCACTATGTCTCCCCTTTCCCTCTCATGCCAATGGCTATTTTAATTTATTTATTGATGTGTGTTAACTAATTAGCAGGGCCGGATTTAGCATGGGGCCAGCGGGGCCACGGCCCAAGGGCCCCCACCATTTAGGGGCCCCCACCAATGCAATATGTAGCTTTTTAATGAAACGAATATGAAAAAAATTGGCGAAAAAACAAAAAAATGGGTCGGTTATACCGCGCGAATCCTGTAATTTTCAATTAATTTTTCGTAGATCTAATTTTTCGCCAAATTTTTATCGCTTGCAAATCAGAATGTAAATTATCACACTCAAAGTTTTGGCGCGCGAAGACGTTTTTATATAGTTTATAGTCATACGTTATGACTCATAACAATTATAGCAGTTGCTCCTTTAGTGCTTGTGGTAACGTTTTTGAAAATACAGTCAAACAGTCAATTACTTATAATCTAATATTAAAGTTAGTTTTTGTCCCAGATTTTTATTGGTACATTGGAGTGTTGTGGAATATTTTCCGGTGATTCCGAAATTCTGTTTCGTGCTTTTCTTTGGACAAAAGATTGTTTTATTGTTTGATTTTGTATGAAAAACAGACAAATAATACGACTTTTTATGCACTTTTTTTCAGTTTGCGGTAAGTATTAAAAATACAAACAAAACATACGTAGATCAATTTATATTTTACTTGAGTAATGTTATGTTCGTATTATTCAAAATATATAAAATATAAAGTATATAAAAACACTGTCATTCACAATTCTATTCTACTATATACGTTTTTATAGTTTTGCTTACGAATTTATAATTTCTCAGACTTGGGTAAAATGTATATATACAATGTATATATAGTAAAATAAGTAGAATATTATACATACATAACATAACCTTATAAGGTTATGTTTCTATTATTCAAAATATACAGGGTGATTCAGACTTGTGGTGTGGTATGGAAAAAAAGTTCCTATAAACACGTGTCCGAAAATGCTTCATTATCGAGATAGGTTAGTGAGATTAATAAACCGGGAAGCAGGCACAATACGCCTTTTGGTGTAGTAGAGAAGGGATATGCAGAAGCTACAGAAGAGGGAACCAGTCCGTGTGCCATAACATGAGCCCCCTCTTCAACGAAGCACGAATAACCGTGCTGCAGAGTTCCTATTACCTCTTCAGTAGCCGAAAAATAAAGAAAATAAGAGAGTGGCAAACCACAAGAAAATCACCAAGGGAACTAATGCCGCGGTCCCCGGCACGCATTTTTGTATCGAGCGTCCAGTACACCGCATCTCGCGCTCAATGGGGCGGGGGGGAGGTTGGAGCGGGGTCGGTTGGGTTGGGTTGTTGAGTTTGGGTTGGTTTTGGTTGGTTTCGCTCATTTTAGCGGTATTTTATTAATATCAATTTTTTTACAAGTTTTTTTTACAATTTTTGCATATTTTGTCAGTTTTTTGCGGGGGGTGGGGAAGGGAGTTAGGTTTTGATTTTTTTGCATTTTTAGGCGTTTCAGGACATTTTCTCGTTTTAAGACAGACCTCGGTTAATACGACGATTGAGGTGTACTGGATGCTCGATACGAAAATGCCCCCGGCACCAGCGTCAATGGGCCGCCACCTAGCGATGGGGCAGAGAGAGTACCCAAAAGGCGGACGAAGTGGGCAGGACTGCCAACAAGAATGCAAAATCTAGCGCGGACGAAGAGCGCACGGGCGTCGCTGTCCCCGCCGGCAGTCCAGCACACAGCAGTCAGAATCGAGAGGCATAAATTCAATTGAGTGTCAACTCGTGCTCGTGCACGATTTACAGGCAGAAGGTCGTACATGAAGGGAGTAAGAAGGTCTATATTGTTGGTCTCGATGAGTTCGTAGCCCTGCTTAAAATACCCCATAGAGACCCTGTTCAAACCAATAGATATTTGTATCGGAATGTATGGTGATTCTATAGGGTGTATCGGTATGTATAGGACCCATAGTTGGGATTTATGGTTGTTCTATAGGGATATCCACCCTTGATTAATTTGCTTATGATTTCAATGGGGAAAATACACATAAATGGAAAAATTAGATTTTCCCCCATAGAACCCTATAGGTTTTAATAAAATTTTGACAACTGTTTTATGGTTGCTCTATAGGGATATCCCTATATATCCTTCATTGAGTTATTTGCTATCGGTCTCAATAGGAAAAATGTAAAATTTATGGGGTGTCTATAGGTAATTTCCTATAAATTTTCTATCGGGACGTATCCGGAAAAACCATGGACAAATGCACATATTGAATCCGGTAGCGCCCGATAGATTATTTTGTATAGGTCTCTATGGGGTATTTTAAGCAGGGAGAGGATCTGGTAGAGTGGCAGCGGCCAGGCAGGGAGCTCGTTTGCTAGAGCAGCTCTTTGTCTGTTGTAGTTTGAGCACTGAAGAATGCGGTGTGGAGGATCGTCAGTGACGTGGCATGTTTGGCAGTTAGGATTATCAATGCTACCTACGAGGTGGAAGTGCCTTGCAAATCTGCCGTGCCCAGTCAGTACAGATGATAGTGATCGAAAATGTGGTATCTGAAGTAGCTGTCTGTTCGCAATAGAGGGTATGAACATATGTATGATGCGACCCTTGGGATGGGAGTCCCATATAGTCTGCCATTCATCGAGGCAGGCCAGGTCGATTATGGTTCTAGCGTTACTCCAATTGGGGTAATTTTGAGAGTTGGGCCAATGAATTTCAAGATGTTGGACTGGATTTTTCCCTCTTATATTGGAGAGAGCCAGCCTAAATGAGACTTCTAAACCTAGAGGTTTTATATTGGCCAAGACGCCAGCAGCCTCTGCTGATACGTCTCTATATCAACCTGATATGATATGATAGTTTGGGCACACAGTGCCCTGCATGATCTCATAAATCTTTCCGCTCTTTTGTAATTCATCTTTTCTCTCCAGACACTGAATGAATATCCGATTATTGGGAAAACCGCAATACTATAGATGGAGACCAGTCTATCAGAGGGGGGGACCCAGGCTCTAACCAGGTGTCTTCTTATGTTTGCGAACAAACTTTTAGCCTTCAAGCAGACCAACTTGATGTACTCTTGATAGTTGAGGCGCATATCCAGAGTGACTTCCAGATATTTAGCAGATGGAATAGGTTCATTTGATCCGGATAGTAGGCCTTCTGACACACCTGCCGCCAAATACGACATATACACAATTGTTTATGGATAGACTTAGTTTATTATCTGACAACCACGAGCTGACCCTCGAGCAGGCAGTGTTGGTGAAGTGCTCAACTTCAGCACGGTTGCGAGCGCTGCCAGCAAAGGCAATATCGTCGGCGTATGCGAACGTTTTAGTATTTTTCCCGAGGGGAATTCGAAGGAGGTCAACAGCAGTATTCCAAAGCAAGGGCCTCAGGACAGATCCCTGGGGGCAGCCTCTAGTGAGGGTCTTGGAAACCTTAGCAGGTCCCAATTAAAAACCAGTGACAAGGTGATCAAGATAGCTCTTTAGGAGATTAATGATCTCAAAGGAGAGACCTTTGTTGGTTAAAGATTGTATTACTGTAGGCCACCATAGGTTATCGAAGGCACCCTTGATATCCAAGAAACAGACTAGTTTGAATTTAGAGATCAGTATTTAAGTGGTTGGTCAAATCAGTTACCGCGTCAGTTGCCGAGCGGCCCTCCCTAAAGCCATATTGAAAGGTGGATTACGGAACCTCCGCAAGGAGGTTACTCTTGATAATGCGTTCAAGTACTTGCCAAGGATAGGCAGCAGAGTTATAGGTCTATAGTACCCATGAGCGGGTCGGACGAGGAGATGGATCCACTTTTTGGCATCAAGATTAGTTTACCGATTTTCCAAGCCTTCGAGAAGAACCCAAATCTGATGCAATCATTGAAGACTCTACAAGTATAATTAGAAATAGCAGGTCCAACCGTGCGGAGAACAGCAGAATAAACGTTGTCAGGACCAGGAGTCTTGTTAATAGAGA